CTGTTGTGGCCACCCATCAAACTAACCTTTTAGCCGATAGCTTTACATTCTATTTTAACGACAAGATTAAACAGTGAAGGAAAGAATTCTCCCCCCCGTCCTTGCTCCTCTCTCAACTGCAATTGTACCATATCGTTCCTACCCTTCAGGCCTTCTTCACGGCTATTAAACAGGAGGTGGCTGCGCTTCTCCTTTCAGGCAACCAGTGACACGTAGGCAGACAGTCACATTCACACAGTAACAGGCAAACAGTCACACATAGGCAGACAGTCACATACACACAATTACAGGAATTCAATCACAGACAGACAGTCTCACACACACACAGTCACAGGCTGACAGTCACACACAGTCACAGGCAGAAGGTCACATACAGTCACAGGCAGAAAGTCACACAGTCTCAGATAGGCAGGCAGTAACAGGCAGACAGTTGTACACACACACACACAATTACAGACAGTCACACACAGACAGTTACAGGCATAAAAACACACACACACACAGTTACAGGCAAAAAGTCACAGGCAGGCAGTCACACACACACAGGTAGACAGTCACACACACACACAAGGTCACAAACAAACAGTCAAACATAGTCATATACACACAGTTACAAACAGTTACACACAGAGTTACAGGCAGATAGTCACACACAGTTACAAACAGTCATACACACAATTACAGGCAGACAGTCACATGCACAGTTTCAGGCAGACAGACACACACAGTTACAGGCAGACCATCATACACAGGCAGACAGTCACACACGAACAGTTACAGGCAGACATTCACACACACACACACACAGTTACAGGCAGACATTGACACATACAGTTACAGGCAAACAGTCACACAGTAACAGGCAAACTGTCACACACATATACATAGAGTCACAGTTACAGACAGTCTTAAATTACATAGCTAATTATAACAGTATGCATTATCCATGTATTATCATAACCAAGTTTTGTATTGTTTTCTTTCTTTGTTAAATGCAGGTAAAGAAAATCTATGAAAATGAGAAACGCCTTCTGGAAGGGGATCATAGCATTGGCTTGTTGTTAAGAGATTTTGAGAAAAACTATCACATGTATGTGTATCCAGTACATTGGCAGTTTCATCAGCTTGATCGACATACAGTGGACAGGTAGGTTTAATATATACCTTAACTTAAACAATTACAAAATGAATCAACTCATAAAATTCTTAAGAATACTGCCAAGTATCTATCCAAAAGTGAAAAAAAAATAGGATGTTTCTCTGGCTATACTTTATTAGAACTTAACGATACTACAGCACATAGAGCAATTCCATATAGAATAGCCCTATCTGTAGCCCTGCGTACAGCTCTTTCGGATATTACCACATTGAGGCGCTCTTTTTAATCCCCCTTTTTATATTGTGATCTACTATATATAAACCATTGACTTTCACCAACTATACTGCATTTTTATACAGGTAGTCATCGCTTTACTGTAGTTATTAAGGGGCATTTCAAACACCTTTGATATATATATATATATATATATATATATATATGCTAAAGATGGCTTTTTTGTTGTTGTAAGTAAGCGTCCTTTATTATACAGAGGTGTGTGTGAGCTATCTGCAACTATTATGATGTTTTAGTTCATTAGTTAATAAAGAAGTACATTGTTTGTGCAAAAAAATCAAATAAAAGATCTAGATGGTGTTTATATCATATAAATCAGCTTACCAGATCTTGAGAGTAATCACATTTTTCTGATGTGTTGGGGAGGACTGTGTTGATGTGTGCTCATATAATGTGATTATGTTAACATTTTGGGTAAAAAGTACTCTACCAGTCTCAGAGACATCCCTAAGAACACACAAAATACATTGGAGTCTTGGCAGTGGTTCTTAAAACCTGTTATTTAAAAGTGTAACTTATATGTATTCATATTTATTTACACCAGTTTTATGTCTGTTATTTTCTGTTTGTGCATTACAGGCTGCTTACACGCTCAGAGCTTGCTCCTCTACGTACCCCCTTGCTTCCAATGGAGCATTGCGTGACCGCCTTCTTCCAACAGTGTAACACCAACAGTGATAAACACATCTCTCTCAAGGAGTGGTGTCATTGTTTTGGAATTAAAGAAGGTATGACATAACTATTGATATACATACATGCAGAAATGTGGAGGAACCTTTCGGACAAGACATAGCTTATCTTTACAGATTTAAAAGCTTACAGGGTATTCACTAAACAATGGACTTTGTCTGAATGGACAAAATTTGTTGGAAATGAATAAATAAAATAGAATTCTATGTCCGAATAAAATTAGTGCTTCCGCATCCGAAACCTATACAAAGTATAGGATTCTGAATATTCACAAAACACAGGTTTTAAAAAATAAAATACATTAACATTAAAAAAGGTGTCAATTAGACCCATGAGATGTGCCCTGTAAAATAATGGGAAGTCATAGTCCCCCCCAATGAGCATTGGATAGGGGACTTTAAATGATTCATGTAGTGATCTATCCTGACTCCCTGCTTACACCCGTGGCCAGTGGGTCAGTGGCTATTTAATAAAGTAAATGTCCCACTATCTTCCCACTGTACCCTTAAGCTTGGTCAGTGGGTGTGTTACTTTTAAATTTAAACAGTTGGGACAAATTATCAGGCCTCACTGATGGGTGGTGGATAGGGACTATTCCCACAATAGGAGTGGGTCTGTGGTGGAGGACACTAGGCCTTCCAACTGTAATTTAGAGCCCCCTCTGCCACTAATGGGTGGGGGAAAATAGGCCCCCCTCATAATATTATTATTAGCACTCCCACGCACCACTGATGGTGACATTTGGACATTGGGTCCATCCAGTTATATTATAATAGCCCCTACCAGCCACCTATGGGTCTTGCTGAAATTCAGACCTATTCAGTGCCTGAATTGCTAAATACTATGAACGTGGTCCTGATTTTAAAGTCAGAATGGTCCCATAAGAAGCCAGATAGTTTTGCCCCATTCGGAACAAAGCCATACGGACTTCGGTGAATAACCCTGTTAGAAATCAGAAAGATTTCATTTAAGGGACACTGTAGGCACAGTACCTGCTTCATCTCCTTGAATTGGCCATAGTGACTATACAAGCGTCCCCAGCAGATCATTCCCTCTGTGCTGCTCTGGCTATTGAGGAACCATAATTCTAAGCAGCAATGGGCGGTTGTGATTGGCTGAGAGTCTCAGATATTTTTGCTATCTGTTTAAAACTATTGAGGGAACCCTAACATTATTTTATGCTTTTGTTTTTCAGAAGAGATAAATGAAGATCTTTTGTTCTGAAACACAAGTGAAATGTGATCAAGAAGATCCTTAAATCTAACACCCATGCTACTTCTAGAAATTCAAATACAAATGTAATGTTTAATGTAATCCTTTGTTACAAATACAAGACATTAAAGGGACACTCCAGACTCATAAAGCACTTTAGCTTGCTGAAGGGTTTTATGTTTAAAGAATGTGCCATTATGTTTTAATTTGGAGTATATCACCTAAACAGCATTTTTTTCTATATTAGGGCAATGGAGTGTCCATGTTAGGACCTTTTTTCTAAAACTGATGAATGAATGATAGATTATGTTTGAGTTTCACATTAATTACATCACTGGTTGTCAAACCCATATTCAAGAGTCTTCGTATAAGTTGTATCAGTAGGCCCTGAAAAACTATTTTGTATTCCCAATAGCTTGGACTCCTGGTGACTAAAGTTGTATTACTGTGTGCATAATATAACATTTAATAGACTAACTGTTATAACCTTTTGTGAATCTTCATGTCTACCATAGTTAAAATGTTTTAATATCGCACTGCCTTTTCCCAACCATTTATCGCACCTCCTATTATATTAAAATATAGTGATGTATTATTAAAAAGTTGTAAAAAATAAATCTTACTTTAACTTAAATGATAATTAAATAGTTCTTCCATTTATAATTGGAAATGCTATATATTTGAAATATTGCTTCTAAATCGCTGTTACACACAACCTGACAGTTCTTAGGGCTACAAATTATGTAAATGAATTAGGTCTAGAACATAATGATACTCTGCTGCAGGGATAGGTAACCTTCGGTACTCCAGATGCTGTGGACTACATCCCCCATAATGCTCTTACACCTATGATGCTGGCAAAGCATCATGGGAGGTGTAGTCCAAAATATCTGGGGCACTGAAGGTCGCCTATGCCTGCTCTACTGAGTGAACAATTTACAAATGTATATTTTCTCCAATTTTGGCCATCATTCTTGTCTGTCATTCTTTAATTCTTAATATACGAATGACTCATAATCAAAAAAATTACTAAAAATAAACTGTTTCATTGCATTACTTGGAATTTGTATTCCATAGAAGGTCAGCAGTTTTATTTTTAATTTTTTTTATTTTATTATCACAATATTTACTTTGCGGTTTAAACTACAGGCAAAGTTCTAAAACTGGGCAAAGAAAGGTACAGTGTCAGTATTTCATGCTTGGTTGAGAATTATCTTGTGTGCCTAATGGCCAAAATGGAGAAGCCATCTGAAGAATAGCATGGCAGGTAGTTAAACAGGTATAATATGGAGTAAATACATTATGCAAAGATTACAAATTTTTTAAAAATGCTGATGTCATGTTTGAAATACCCTGGATGTCAATTTTTTAAAGAATGCACACTTTTATAACGGGCTATTAAGTTATCCCAAAATAAGACATAGTTGCATTAAGGTTAGAAGATTGCAAAGAACACATTGTAATATATATCTCACAACTTTAAAAAAATAATAACTAAAAAAGGAGAAATGTATTCATATTGGTCAATTAATCAAGGGATGTAGTGATGGTTAAACAACAGACTAGGCAACAGGTACAATGTCAATCAAAGGTTGCAAAGGCCAGTAAGGTATCGGCATGCATACAAAATGGGTACACATTCACGTGATGGAACCATAACTTTGCTCCTTTATAAAACCATTGTAAGAACCCACTGCGAATATATCTTTCTCATGAGTTTTAAAGAAAAATATTAAGGTAAGATCTACAACTATGAAGTATATCTGTATTGATTGAATTACTTGTCCCATTGTTCTTAGTATACCCAAATTACTTTGTTGTGTTAACAAGACCTTAAATCACCTTTTCTCGACCATACCATAACTTACATGGTTGTCTCTTTAACACCAGTTATTGAGCAGACAGATTAAAAATAATGATGTATTCATTTTTCTCATTTCATAAGCTAGACCAAAAATCCCAATTATATTATAACAACAGTCACAAGACAGACATCTTAAGTGCTAATTATTCCTCTATCCTACTTCTAGACAAGTAATTCTACGCACTTTCCTTATTATTGCATTTACCATTCATTTTATAGTACACATAAATACCACCTTCATGGTAACAGTTATTTAATACAATGTTCTTAATTTCTGTTCAGTTTGAAAGTATTTAAATGGATCTAATAATGTTACATTTTAAAATATTAATTATATAAGATCATGGAAAATAGAACATGATTTTTAGATTCAGATTTAACCAATTTACCTATTTTTATTTTTTATTTTTTTATTTTTGAGAGTGCAAGTTAAACACAAGAGCAGGCAGTGTCACAACAACAGCTGCGTGCACAGTAGTTAAAGACATAGTTAAACAGCAGTGTGACATATTAAAGCAGGTAGTAGCACAATTTTTATAATTTTCTTGAGTGATGCAAGAACTAAAGGTGAATATGTAACAGGTTAGAATATATTAGGTGGTGTAACCTTGCCAGTGCTGCTTCTGGTGGCCTGTATGGCCGTATTGTCATCTGTCCCTGTCCTCCTTAGCTTTGGGCGGGGTTGGGGACAAGCTCTAGGGGCGTGCGCGCTATAGCGGCTGGAGGCAATAGTGGTATGTGGCATGGTTTAATGACTCGTTAACCCCGAAGTCTGGGGGGGGGAGGTAGGCCATCCGCTTGGCTGTTGAGTGGGGTTTCGTGACATTGGTACCGTGGGCTTAATGACACTATATGTATAATGGTTCCTTAACGTGAGATATCCGTCTATACGATGAGAAATTAGGTTGTTGATATTAAACCATAAGTAAATGGAATAGAATACCAAGAGATATAAAAATGCAAAACAAACACAATAAAGCAAAGCATAACACGTAAATGTGGGAGCCAAGCTCCAACTCGCCCAATATGTGGCAACACCAGGATGGAGGTTATTGTTGCAATGTCTCTCTATCCGACGACTGCTCAGTCAGTTAAAGTTACCCGGGGCTGCACTGGCCCTTGTCCCGCTGGTGTTATCTGTCCCGCAGGGGTAAAGTCCGGAACGTTAGCTACGTCCCACTTGTGTGGAGGTCTTGTCTTGGCCCCTGCCTTCTGTTGGATGCCCAGCGCCTGCAGAAATTGTGGAGCCTCTTCCGGTGATGCCAGTCGGTGGTTGTGCCCATCTCGCGTAGCGATAAGAAGCCTTGGGTATCCCCATTTATATGGTATCTCTGCTGTTCTTAGTTGTGCCGTGGTTTCTTTTAAGGATGCACGCCATTGTAGCGTCTGGCGGCTGAGGTCTTGATAAAAGTTCAGGTTGAGGTCTTCAAATGCAAATGGGGTCTGGCCCCTGACGGCCCTGAGAAAGCCATCCTTGTCTGCACGGGTTTTGAAGTTCAATATGACATCTCTTGCCGAATCAGGTGCGTTGCGTTGGCGTCCCGGTATGCGAAATAGGCCATCTAGAGTTATGCTTTTGGCCTGTTTGAGTGGCAGGGCGGCCTGGAGCAGTCTTTTAATGAGATGCGGTAGTTCCTCTGTTGTTACGGTGTCTGGGATCTCCCTCACCTTGAGGTTTTTTTGCCTTGCTGCATCCTCCAGCTGCCCCATTCGGGTATTCATCTGCGTGCACATGGCTGTTAGTTCCAGCGTTTGATTGGCGGTAGCTTCTTGCTGGGCTTTCAGGTCTTGGACCCCGGCTTCTGCAGTTTGTATGCGGCCCGTGAGCATATTCAGCTCAGACTTGAGGCCTGCGAGTTCTGCCGCGAAAAAGGCCTTGAGGTCTGTCACCATCCCTGACAGGTCGACCTTAGTGGCTAGTTGGTGGTCAGGTTGTTTCGGCGGTGCATTCTGCAGCCTCCGTTGGGGTATCTGGGTTGGTATGTCACCAAGGTATTCGTCATCCGATGCCGAAAGTGACTCCATCCCCATGTCGTGGTAGGCGTCCGCCATCTTGGGCCTACATGCTTGGGACAGGAGCTGCCCGATATCTTGTGTGTGGCCCGTGTTTTGCCCTCGGGGTTTTTTGGAGTGCTTCCCCATTGCTTGGTGTATCCTCCGTAAGTGATTTGTCGGTATCTGGAGGCTTTTTGGGTGAGCCGTGAGGCTTTTGTAGAGCAGTTCTGCCGTAGCTTGGGTGCCATGCGTCTTGTCAGCTCAGCCGCTAGCCCCGCCCCCCCAATTTACCTATTTTAGTGATTCTAAAATGTGAATGTTTATGGAAGGTCTAAACTGTGTTAATCCTATAAATCCTACTAATAAACTATCTGTGACATCATCATAATTTATTACCTGTATCTTTATCAGGTAAGATATTTGTCTCCCTATCTACGTCTCTCTCTCTATAAAGTGATTACTTATCAAGGAAACAAGAAACCTTTTCAAAATTTCAATTTCTTTCTTAAAAACTCCAGTGTTGTCTAATAAAGACCAATTATCAGAAAAAACTATACACAATACAATATAAATTATTCAAGTGCAAAAATACAGGCCCTGATTTTACTGAAAGGAAGTAAAATGTAAAAGTCTAGCAAAAAGGTAGAAGACTTTATTTGACCCTTTGACCCCAATCGTGAACTTCCCTATTATTGATTGTATACAGCCTTACAAATATTCAGCACACCTTGTTCCCCCAATATATTTCTTTAGTGAATGTTTCCATTCACTACAGGAATACTGTTGGGAATTCAAAGCGAATTTCATATTTAAGGCCAAAGTAGCCAAACTGGAAAAATTCTCCAAGTTAACTATGTTTTCAGTTTGGCTACTTTGGCCGTAAAGGAACATTCAAAACACATAAACTACTACAGCTTTCAGAATTGTTATATGTCTGAAAAGTATGTCCTCATACATTCAATAGAAATCAGCACCTTTTTAAAATTACTTGATTAAACCTCCACTGCTGTCTATCAGACAGCTGGTCCGGTTACTTTAGTAGTTTAGTTTAGTGGGGCTAAACTCGAGGCAGCAATTACCAAAAGCACATGCTTTACAAAGACTTCTCATTGAACTGCATTGGACAGCCACAGAATGTCTGTGCTGGGGAAGAAGGGGATAGCTTGCTGTAACTGCAGAGGGTATATCAGTAACTATAGCAAGCCAAGTTTACATATTACTAAAAAAAAAAAAAAAAACATGCAAAATACATTTATTGAGTGTTCATTAAATTCAAAATAATTTTTTAATTGACTTTGGAGTCTCAACATTTTTCACTCTAAAGAATAATCCTGATAAACCTCAATGTGTGTGAAAATGTTGTCATTTTACTAAAGTGAAAAATCAAAATGAATTTCAAATTTAAGGCCAAAATAACCAAACTTGAAAAATTCTTCAAATCGGCTATACTTCAGCTCACTTCAGCGACTCTGTCCTTAAATTTTAAATTTAATTTGAATACACATTGAAATTTCACTTTAGTAAATATAGAGTTTTAAACCCCACCCTGAGTCTCTCCATAGTGCCTCCTCTTCAAGTATCTCAAACACCTCTAAAACACCCTCTTTGTAACTTTAGTGGTCCTTTAATAAATGGTGATTACAATGGTGTCATTTAATTTCCTTGGCTGATGTCACTCTTCAAAGATAAATGCTAAGCATACAGCCACCAGACACCATCTCCACTACAAAGATTAATCTGTCCATTTGTTTTCTTCTGAAGTTGCCATAACAATTCTTATTGCAATCCTGCCGAAAATAGATATTAGACATATAAAGGTAAATATCTGTACTAATGACACAAATTGCTCTATTGTGTCTCATTCCAATAAATATAGATACATTCTAATGCACTTATGGTGAACAGTGCTTACACTACGTCATATAAACCTTTAATCTTCTTTACCCAGGGAATGACCACACTTTTCAGTAATTCCTTTGAGAAATTATGCATGTCTTTTGTTTATGTCCATTATACTTTTAAACACCTGGGTCACATATTCAGCAATAATATATAAGTATGAGATTATACATACCACTTTAATGATAGCCGAGATACTTAATTTAATGATAACCTAGCAACATGTGAGTCATTTAAGTTGTTTTATCGCTGGTCCACTGAAATCCATGTCATCATTTAAAAGGAGCAGATATTTTACTACAACACAATACTCTGGTACTATTATTCATCATCGCTGCACTGCGTAAAGAGGTAAGCATCAAATCTTCTCTATTATTCAAAGGACATATTTATAGAGTGTTTGGTCCATTGCAGGCATTCCTATTATTTAATTTTTAATATTTTTACATATTCATCATGTATCAACATTGAGATGAAATAAGCATTTTTATAGATTTTCTTTGAATAAAAATAAAATAAACTATAGTATGGTTTGCTTTTTTTTTAAAAGATATTCAAACAGAATTTGGAGCATACTGTCCAGATACGTTTTCTGTGTTTCAAATTAGGAACATCTTTATCAATGTGGTTTGGTAATTTATATTATGGAAGAGTAGGAAGATAGATTTCAGCACTTGATCAATGTCAATAAAGCTTTATATCTTGGATTATGCAAAATCAGACTGTTTACTGCCCCCGAGTCTGATTAGAGATCATACATAGACACACAAGTCCTTCTTCTTGATGTTAATCGATATTGTCAGCGCCTAGAAAATAATCCCCCTTAAAATGTATCGAGGGTGCACACATATACAAATATATCTAAAAACTGTTGTGTTAAAAACAGTGTTAGTGTCTCTAAAAGATTCAGAGTCCGTTCAAATCACATATGAGTTCCTTTGGGGAAAGTCTAGATTCTTTGCCGTAGCAATAGAAGACCCAATAATGTACTGGAAATTCCTTAAGGCAAAAAGAGACAAAATATAGTGTAACTCTGTAACAATTTATTACCCCAGTACATAACCCCCCCCCTCCCAATAAGGAACTCTTACAAAATTAAAATGTGGTACTTATCACTAAGGACCACGAGTATGGCTCTTATAGCTGCTCTTTCTCCTGAGGTTCCTGAACGAATGCCCAGTTCTGACCAAACAGCATCTGTCTCGTGCACAAAGGCAGGCTGTCCGAAGATGTTTCAGTAGAGAAGTCCTGGAGAT